GGGCATCAACGATCGTCGACAATGGCATCGCACAACCTCGAGACCCTCGGCCTCGTCGAACGCGGCGAGTGACGAGCGAGCAGGCTCGACAAACGATGAAACATGTGCTCGGATAAGTTAAATTTCTATCGTCTTACCTGCGTATTCCTGCGTTTGTATCGTGTGTCGCGTCGGTATTAAAGACTTTGCCGGGATACGGAAGAGCCGGTAAACGACGGCGAGACTCATCGTGCGACGATACCGAGCAGCCGTAAACCGAATGAATCTGACGGGCTACGTAATGTCCCGGATCTAACTGGGAATTGGGATCGATATCCGCGATCCAATCCTAACGACGCACACCCAGCTGATCTAGGATAAGGGTTGGTCGCCCTGGCTGGAGGCTGGAGCAGGGCGACCAACGTGAACCGCGGACGGGAGGGGGCACACGCGAGAGAGCGCGCTGAGCGAAATTGTTGATTCCCTCTATACTCTAGAGCCTCTAAAGGTGAGCTTTTGCTTTCTCCAAAAACTCTCAACGTGTTAAAGCTGCTCAAGCATTCCGTTTGATTCCACTGATAGAGGAGATCGCACGGAACGTAGCTCTCTGTCTCCCTCTCACGTTACGGCGCAACGTACGATGAAACCAACGAGGTATCGCTTGGCTCGACGTCGTGGGTCGTGAGTCGAGTTTCTGGATGCGCGTCCGAATGTCTCCGATTGGAACATTCGTATGCATCGCAGAGATGTGAAACGCTGCCAAATGTTCGATGCGAGATACGCCGCTCATTCCGCCCGGTTATGTAATGCCATTGAGCAACGATACTTCGACGCGGGTAAGAGTCGCGTGACGAGTAACTCGCGCGGTCTTTCCGCTCGGTAATGTTAAGAGGCCCCGACTGTTGCAGACGAGAAAAATCTTATTTGACGCGAAGACTAGATCGACCGCTCGAGCTGGCGCTCCAGAGGAGAATCAATTTCTGACGATAGCGGCCGCCTTGCCAATCTTGCCGGGTGCGCCAGTACCTCCGAAGCTGTCGAAGCGTTGTTACAATTCGTTTAGGTAGAAATTGCTTTACAGAGAAACGAGCTTGCACCCTCGCTAGGGCCGTCACGTTGAAACTGATTGGTTTGATATTGCTAGTTGTGCCGGGACCCAATTTGAACTTCAAGATGCGGAGGCCGATGGCTGCGACGTGGTCACGTTGCAATGGACGGGGGACACGAGAACGATTGTGGCGTCGAGAACTCCTGCCGAACGAGAAAAGAACCCTGACCGAATATGCCTCGACAGGCGAGGACTTACGACCTTCCCTACGCTCGTCGGAGAATCGAAATTGCGATTAATGTCTCTTCAGCACAATCTGCTGACCAAGATCGAGAGCTCCAGCTTCTCGCAATTGACGAAGCTTGTATTTCTCGACTTGTACGATAATCAAATTGAGAAAGTATGCGATTTCGATCTTTTAGAGAACCTAAGAGTGCTTCTACTGGGCAAAAATAGAATAAGGAAGATCGAGGGCTTGAGGCGGCTCTTGAAATTGGAAGTTTTGGACTTGCACGGCAATCAAATTCAGCAGATTACGGGCTTGGAAAATTTATCGTCGTTAAAAGTACTTAACTTGGCGGGGAATAATATCAAGACTGTAGGATGCAATGACTTTCGTGGCTTAATCTCGTTGAAAGAGCTGAATTTGCGACGAAACAAACTCAAAAGATTGCTGGGATTTCACGAGACACCACAATTACAGAAATTATACTTGAGTAACAATGATATTCATAAGTGAGCATCCTATATAATTTGATAAGTTATATTTAGTTGCTAGGAGAATTCTTATTTAACTTTGCCGCACGTGCTTGCTTTGAAGGACGTTAAACGTCTCTATGTCACCTCTTGTAAACTGTGCGTGATTCGAAGAGATGCACATCTTGTTGTAGTATCTTCTTCTTTATTTAAATGTTTCATTGATAATGTAACAAGTGTGTATGTCGAGTTGTTTTCATCTTTCAGAATTGAAGACGTGAGTAGCCTCGCAAAAGCCTTGCAAATTAAAGAAATAACAATAGATGGCAATCCAGTGACCTTAAGCACTGACTACATCTCTTTTCTTGTTTCGTACTTGCCAAATCTGCAGCTGTTGTCGACGATGCAAATTAGCGAGCAAATTCGAAGAACAGCAATGGCTTGGAGATTCTCCAAGGAACAATCGAATTCAGCATTCCTTGATCTTAGCACGCAAGTTTGTATGAGCGTACGTAGGGAACAGGTGATATCGAACGCCAAGACTAATTGGGAATTTCTCAGATCTAAAACTAAAGTCTCGCTCGACAATTCCGATAAAGTAGCGACGACGGCGAGCAATAACACGGGCAACGGTATCAATGTATTATTGCGCACGCAAAGCTCAAATAAATTTAATGCTATAAATCGAAAGAGTTTAGACAAAGTTAAGATAAAAGGCTTCGGTAGCCTCACGTCGATAAATGAAAATATGGAAGCACGAAAAATGCATATAAAAAGGAGAAGCAGTTCCAGCGAGAATTTGTTCAAGTTGCAAGACACATCTAAATCGTATCCTTTGGAATTTAAACTACCACCTATACTAGGCTCGATAGTGAATAGTTTAACAAGCGATAGACTCGACTCGAATAGATTGTCCAGGGATAATAAGGAAAATAACGGTAAGATGAAAGTTGTTGGTGAAGACGAGAACGTGTCGGATAGCGAGACAGACAGCTCGCAGAGTCATGAAAGTTTGAAAAGCGGCTTGAAGTGTCACCTGTTTACTTGCAATGTCTACGGCTCGCCTATTGATTATGACAAATTTACCGTCGGTAATGAATCTACCATAGGCGTGGCGAAGGACGTGCCCTCGATTACCGCGGAAAAGTCTTGTGTTGAAGATAACGAAGACCAGGCGCGCGATAAGGACGCGACAAGACTTGCTACGACCGAAAATCCCCCGAAACACCACCGTGACGCAGTGATAAACGAAAGCAAAGGCTCGAGTGATCGGTCCTTTCAAAATACAAAAGTATTTCATGGTCAAGATGGACCGAATGATTGTCAATCGAAATCGACTGTAAGCTCTTCTGGATACTGCTCTCCGAGTTCAAAGACTAGTAGCGTAGACAGCTCCAAGTCGTTCAAGAATGCTCACAAGTATCACGAATGTGACAAGGATAAAGGTAGAATTAAGAGTGCTCAAACGAAAAAGATGGTATATTATAAAAGCAATAGAGCCGCGACAGCTAGGGCGAAATTTCGAGCTCTCGCTCCGCCGAGTCCACCTCCTCAACAAACACTACCTAAAGAAAGAGAACAGGGTAAGCTGAGATCTTGTTTCAAACCCGCTACCTTCCCGTTTATCAAGTGAAATGAAATGTAATGTAATAATGAGACAACTTTCTAGGCGGAGATTATTTAATAGAAATTGTTGGTCGCTGCCTGAATATATACGGTCAAGGTGCTTTACGCTTTATCGACAGGACTTGGGACGTGTCAAAGGCTCAAGATGTCAACATTGTGAAATTTAATTATGTACAATTTAACGATGTGGCAAAGATTTTAAGCAAATTAAAGAATAGATTTCCTCACGCGGAGCATTTCGTATTTAAAGAAACCAACATCAATCTACTTGGCCAACTGAATGCCTTAGCTGAGGTACAGGGACTGACCAGTATACAGATAGACACGGGAAATCCTATCGTGTCCAAGGACTGGAAAATGTACGCTATATTTCGACTAGCTCATTGGGGACTCGCAATTATCAATGGCAAGGAGGTACAATATGAGATTTAGAAAATTATGAAACAAAGAGTCGTTCCGTTCAACTCGATCCAAAAATTCTACATTCTTCTAGATTACGCCTGAAGATGTAAAACTTGCAAATCAAGAATATACCGGTCTTGTAGATATAGTAATGTGCTCACTGCCAGATTCTTTATTACAACCTTTGTTACAAAGACTTCATTTAGAGAAAGTGCAAAGACAAAGCGGGGAACAAATTACTGCCAAACAATTTCTCTTCAACTGCGACCCGGCGCTTCGGAGTGTTGTTGCAAAGGAGGCGTTACAATGGAGGAAGGGAAATGTAACGCAGGTAATAAAAAGAAACCAAAGAGCATACGTTACCATTTTTTTTAACAAGATACTTTATGCTGAATCGTACGCTAGTCAAAGGTGTAAATGATATTATTCGTACATAATAAATAATCACACTCTCTCTCTCTCTTTCTCTCTGTACTTTGTTTATAGGAAGACCTCATCTGGAGACACAAAGGAAAAGTACACTTGCTAAATTTAATCAGTCTTACTATAAACGCTATACACAAGTTACAGGTTCTAGAGAAGCAATGGCCATGCATTCTTTACGAGATCGTTTATGATACGCTATCCGATTTTTCTGAAATGGATGTATACATGAAACGTTGCAGTAAAATGCTCGAAAGCAGCAAATAGTATCATGTCCGTGCCTTGAAAAGTAACATATCTATCGCGATATTGAGTAGCGTATGATTTCTAATGAGATTATCGATTATAAATATGTACATCGCAGAATGGTAATGTTTGGCTTTGCTACGATTAAATATTGAATTTATTTCATGAAAAGGAAGATACACATATACAATGTACAACGCATTTACGGGGACGATTTTATATTGTTATTGCTATAAATGTATTAAATACGTTTGCTATAATTGTGGTATATTGATGTATAAAACAATAAATTGTACATAAGCATTGTTAATATTCCTTTCTTCTTGAGTATACAGCCAACGAGCGTAAGAGATATTACTAAATAACATAATATACTGAAGCCGACTAACGTACGTTTCCTATTGAATATAATGTTTATAAAATTTCCACTTGATTTGTACATTTGCGTATAAGATTGTTCACCTTACTGATATTAATGTGCTCTTATTCTTAACTAAATCTAAAAATTTCTGATTTACTGCCTCACCTAGATAGCCTGCTGGTACTCGAACGATTGAAACATGGACATTTGGAACCGATATTATTATTTCGTACCGATAATAGATTCCACGCTGAAGGGAATCGGTGCTTTTTTTTCCAAGCAAGGCTTATCAGTTGTGGTAGGGGAGTTCCGTAAATCTCTTGTAGAAAGAAAATTGTTCAAGTCCCCATTCGCTATGTACGATTGCGTTACTTCATTGAACCACGGGACCATCGTCGGGTATGCAGAGTGGAAAGATTGTACCTTGAGTGTAGGTTCAGCCTCTTGTTTTCGATCGCATCCCAGGGAAGAGAGAGTGCTCAATAAACGCGGATGTGCTGATACTGAAATGTACGAGCAGTCCTTTGTGAGTAAACGTTGCGCATTGTTAACAGACTACTGGAGAGACTCATTAAATATGTACGATGTATTTTATATATCGGTCGGCTGTACACACTCGACAAAGAGATGAAACAAGCAGTCAAAGGTGCTGCATGCTAGCGAGAGTACGTTCGCAAAAATGGAACATTGACAAATATCGAATTGGATACATCAGACACCTCCCGTGACAGATGGAAATAGGGTGTTTGAAACCCTTACGTTTGTTATATCGAGTCTCTTCGCAATCACCTGCCTACAAGGTTTTTGCCGATGGAAAATGCAGCAAACATGTAAAATAGTTTACGGAAGATACAAACTACGTATACGTATGCACGTATTCGCGATAAGACAAACGAGGGATTGTACTCACATGCGCCAGGTAAACTATGCACGGCATTTAATCCATAGAAACCCTGCGTCACGCTGATACTCGTCTGCGTGAAGTGTAAATGATGCCTTTGAAAATTCTTGCCTCTCCTACCGCAGGCAGCCTCGTCGTATTTCGCTTTAGCGTAGGAATAAGGACTCTGCGCGGTGTCTGCCGCTGATATTTTATTTGCCGAAGACAAAAGATTATCGCCTTGCGCTTGTTGTTGCCTACGTAGGGCAACCTGCGCTGCCATCACTCGTTGCCTCTCGACGACTAGAAGACAGCAAGGACACCGGCAATCTTTCCACGCACAGGATCTTTTGTGACCTTTCAAGCCGGATATTACACCGTGGTTTCGACATCTCGCACACTTGGGACTTCTCAAACGTTGCTCCACGTTTGCATTCAAACGACTCGAAGTACCGCCTGCAGTTTTCATCCTGACTTTGATATTATCTCGTGGAAGAGAATAGGGATTAACCGCTAAAGTTTATCAGTCTTGGTTAAATCCCAAATTGTTTGGCCATTAATTACGAAAAGAAACGAAAAGAATTACTTTTGGATTATTTAATATGCGGCCGGCATTAAACACGTTTGTTCCACAATTATACATCTCGTAACATGATTTGAATTGGTGCGTCCAACAAGTCCCGTCAGGGTAATTTAAAGATTCTTTGGCGATTTTTCTTTATTTGACAATTCAAGTATTCTACGTGCAGATCTCGTTCTACATAGAACGCGTACCGGCACACGTCGTAGGTATCGCGGATGTTTTTACATGCGCGACAAGTTACTTATACTAATTTTCACATTCTCTTTCCATCGCATCGATAAAACTTGTCGAAAAATTTGCCTTTAAAATATTTCTCTTTAACGTCGAGTTTTCTGTATCCGTTGGGTTCTTGTTAAACACTGAATTGACCGAGTCGCCCGTCTTTCTCGAACAGAGATACATGCTCGTAAGTGAATACTTCTTGTCCCTCGCCCGAAGGAGGTGTCGTCTCATCTCCTCCTACTGCGATTCAAAATATATTTTTAGCAAGCCGACGTATTCTCATTGGCTCGAAAGCTCAGGAAACTCCGCCGCTTTCGTCGGCCGCGAACCAATGAACCGCCATGTTTCTCTTGGCGTTCTTGTTTCTCGAGTAACTCTACTCTAGAAAGAACGGTAACTTCTTTGATTATAGTTTGCGTGGAATCGATGCTGCACGTCAGATTCGAACATATCTGCATATATCCTACGTGCCCGCGCAAGTTTATAATTTCTCCTCATCAATGCAACAAGATGAGGAGTATTGTTATTGATTTGCAATTCAATTATGTTGTATCATTCGCGATCGCTTGAAGGAAAGTTGACATCTCGTCGAGACGTGCGAATGTCTCTTCTCTCAGAAGAGACAAATCTGTAAAATTTTTCAAATATATTTCTCTCATCCAGTTTAAAGAAGAAGAAGAAGACGAAAGAGAAGAGGGGCGTCATTCACATACGATGATATCCTTTCAGAAATAACGTCGGGTATGCAGGATGTTAACCAGGTGGTTATCGAATCGTGGTGGAAGTCCGCGCGGTGTCACTCATACATTGAGAAAACATACTCGAAACTAATATTAACTGTGTGTTGGCAACATCCGAGAGGATCGTATTAACGAGCTCTTAGAGCAAGATCACAGAAAGAATGCCATATGGTTGCAGCTGCTGGCGCACAACGTTGTTAGTAGAGAGAGATTGTCCGTCTTCTATTTTTGCGGTGCATAACACGATCCGTGAACATGAAGGCAACGAAAGGAATCGTGCGCTATTATATTGTATTGACCGGCTGATTGTTGCCGACAATATTAAATATACGTATAATGCACATGTATACTTTCACTTGTATTTATATTCATTTTTAATCGTGTGAAAGAAAATTTATGATAGGAAATGCTATTTTCATAAAGTTTCCAACTGAACACGCTCGAACATTCAAAGTGCGTGTTGGAACGTATAATTAAGTTATCACATTTGTCGGTAATATTCAATTAAAAGTTGCAAAGTGATGAAGAGTCATCTGTGTAACACATTTTTTCCACGAGATTTTTTTCTTCTAAATTTATGCGGTTGGACAAGTTTAAATTTACATATGTCACTCGCACGCAATACACATACACACACACAGCAGACAGTAGGCACGCGTGACACGCACCGAAGAATTCATCCTAATGAGCGTGGAACGAAGGGGTGTCATTTTGGACGTTTTTTCTTTTCCCCGTGGGCAGTTCTGCTTAAGGGTGTTGTCAAGACGGCAAATATGTTGACAGGTCATTCAACATCTTTCTTGCCTTAGTCGCACGGGTCGCACGTCGCACGCAGAGCCACGAGGAAGCTGAGGAATGGCTGAGACCGATAAACTCTATCTTACTCTCTTTTGTCAAGAAAAGACTACATCGATCGATTTGAAGATTGCGTTAATTATATGACTTTATATAAGCATTATCAGATTTAATTAAAATTTAGTTTGATTTGATTTTAACGCGACACGTGTTACAACTGCATGTATGTCAATTGCGTAGGGGTTACATTAATTTACAAATAACAAATAACTAAACTAGATAGCGCCTGTGGCTTTCCAAGATGTGTTGGTAAAAGGTGAATTTATCATTTGTTTTCGCACATTTGTAATCGCGATTCGTACAATGTGGATTTTAAATTGCAAAGAGAGTAAAGAGCCTAAACAATCTTACCTAAATATTGAAATATATCGAGCAAGTTGACACGAAAGCTCAGTGAGGTCTCGAACCGGGATACTTGCAATGCCGAATTGCACGACCAATCTCACTTGGTATCTTGGAAAGTTTATTATCGGATTTACTGGAGTATTATTTCTTTATGTCAGTTTCTTGAAAGAAAAGTAAGAGAGAGAGGGAGAGACAGAGCATCTTGAACGTGTAGGCCGAATCAAAAAACGTCAAATGGTGACGTTGAAAGTAATCCTGCGATAATTTTTATCCGACAGTGAGAGAAGCTGCGTGTGCGACATCAGAATGAGAGAATTACTAAGGGAGAAAAACGAAAAGTGAGTCGCGCCGGTCATACACGTGCGTCTTCCTAAAACTTTTATTTATTTTGTCTAGAACAATTTTTCCTTCTTTCGCGGAATAGTGTGTCATAATTCATAATCTAGAAAGCAATATAAATAGAAAGAAACATATGTATCTCTCTCGAAATTGTAAAAGACACAAAAAGAAAAGAGGATTGCGCTTCGTATGGCCGGCGATAACATAATAATGGAATTGTTTGAACAAATTGATCCAACACGAGCAGTACTAATTCTTCACGCATTAGGCGACTGAGTAGATGCAAATGCGCAAAAGGGTAAGTGGATGAGATATCTTGGCGAGATATTTACTCAAATTGATAAAGGCTGTGTGTCGATAGTTGAACGTTAAAGAGAACTGTAAATTAAAAGTAGTTAAGTTAAAGGTTTCTTGTTCGCTATTTTACTTAGTTTATTCTTGAAAACATTGAAAATCTTAATACATGCGAGAAAAATAGAAAAGATCCCTGTTATTTAACTCTCTTTTTACCTAATGCAGGACACAAAGTAAACGTTACTCATGTGGGTGCAACAAGCCGCAGCAGTTGTGAGTTTTCTTCGATTATTAATTTGCATTGAGATTAATGTCTAGAATGTTTTAACGTAAGATCTTTATTTTTAATTTTACATTCTCGCCATACATGTGCATAATATATTAATCAATTAATTAATTGATGCTATATGTAAGTTAATTTACATGAATTTTCTGCTAGGATGCGGGACGATATAACACCGGCGGTTTCAAATGATATTAATAGGCATAAGAAGTCAGTTTATCCGAAAAGTCGTTGTTGCGCCAGAAGAAATTCTTGCTAAGAAAGAGAAACGATAACTCTCCGAGGATAAGACCTTCCATTTAGAATGGCTTTTTTGGGGGAATTTGTACCATTTATTCACTAATCGTTACTTCAATGTATCAAATCCGTAGAGGGGAAAGAAATTTCAAGCTTAAAACTGGTCAAGATTCACACATTTTCCACTATAAATGAATTGTATGAAAGGGAAAACATGTCGGTAAATTATACGTAGACTCGTTGAAATTACGTAAAAGACAATTGTATTTTGTATTTACGTGTAATTGCGAGTTTTTAATGTGTCGTGATTTAATCGAATTTACTCGAAAGAGAAATTCCGTGGCGTATGTTCCAATTATCAATTGCCGAATTGTACATGTCGACGATCGGCGGGGTCTATAGACACATTGTCACGAATGTAGCTCGTTACACATATATTATGCGTAACAGATTAGTGCTATTGTGCGTAATAGATAGCAACAGTTATGTGTATCTTTATGTATAATTGGCGACTAGCGAGTAAGCTACGAGAAATTCTATGAATAAATTCGGCATACTGTAGGAGAGTGACACGCCCGGTCGCACGCTCCGAAAATCCGAAACTCGATTAATACGCGTCCCATCTGTAGGTGAAGAGTCTATAAGTAGATCCTGCGCGGGCAGAACGTCAGTCATATTCGTATATTATTTATACTGACCTCGTAGACACGAGACACCTCCTCGTCGCTAACGAGATGGTCGCTTAGTTTCATCGTGTAATGTGTAATATATATTTAATATATTTTCATCAATCGCGCATGAATTGTTGGAATACAAAAGCTGAAACCCCGGTAGAGAGATTACAGATTACAGATAAAGTATTAGTGGAGATATAATCTTTCGTTTACAAGATGTATGCACCACCTCGGGTCTTTTGACGTTAATCTATGCGAGAACTCTCTGAATGGCAGGCTTTGTAAGAGAAACGTCGCAGCTGCGTCTCTTTCGTATTTTGCGCGCATTCCGATGAAATAAAACGAGATACGGGCAAGGGTAGCGGCCTGAGTCGAGAAGAAATATTTCGAAACGGGAAGATGTTAAATGAGCGAACTGTCCGACTGTCACTCTGCCTAGTACCTAGTTTCTCAGTGCTTCACGAAATGTGAGTTAAAACGATCCCGTGAATATATCGCAGGTTTCCGTCGAAAATACACATGTAACATTTCTTCACGTTATGAAACTTTTACTATATTTGTTTTTACACATTAATTTCATTGTCAGACAGCAATAATATTATGTACACCAATAATATTAATCAATAATCAACTAGGTAATCTGTAATTTCACACAATCGGCCATTTTGAAAACATTTCTCGATCCATTTACATTTTACGATTTGAATATGTTTCCGCTCACGTGCTTTCACGACAATGCTCGTCCCGCTTGTGTCTTCCACAAAGGCATGCGTAACGGAATCATCAATGTTGTCTTTAACCGTACCAGACATGAAACGGAATTTATATTTGGCGCAACACGATTGATTCTCAAAGAATCCAATTATATCTCTAAATAGCGAATAAGGCGATGTACTCCCGAACAATTGCTCGTCCATTTCCCTTTCCTGCTCAATAGTAAACTGCTTGTCCGCAGAGAGCTAGATTTGCACACATGTGATCGGATTAGATAGATGATAGTGCGATAATTTATACATATACCAATGAACTGTAATTTCAGATACCTCGAAGATATTCGATCTCGCGATCCTGCCGAATGAACGCTTCAAACTTTCCTCGTCTGCGTCAACAGTGAAATTATCGTAATATTCATCATAGTTTTCTGCAACTTTGTGATTAGTGATATCCCGGCTGCATAATAATTCCCATGGTAAAAAGTCGTCAAACGTGGCCCAATCGGATCGACTGACGAGACGTTTAAACCAATCCAAAGTTACAACATCGTATCGTCCACTGTTTATTACTTCCTTTCCTCGCATCTAAGAAAGTAAGTAAAATTATTGTGATTAGATTACGATTAGTTTCGTAAGAGAAATACTGGATGGGTATATTTCCTACCGTTTTATCATTGCCTACTATCACGCAGAAAGTTGTATTCATTGGATTCTGAACAATTTTGGCACTATGCTGCTGCAGTATTTGTTCAATCTGCTCTTTCGGTGATTCATCGGTACCATTAATCACGCAAATTTCTTTTCCGTCCAATAGTCGCGTGAGTGGCACCACTCGCTTGCTGTACACGTCACGTTCCATCGATTTCCTTCGACTTGTCGTTTTTCGTAATTTAGGGACTGACGCTTGATCGATATCGCATAAAGTAGCTTCTCGCTTGGTTAACTTTTGGATCATTTTTCCACCCTGTATGGTAATGAGATTGTTGCAAAAATTATAAGTGAGTCACGTAATATCTTTCGTAATTCTCGTAACTCGATTCAGCATTTACATACTTTGACCAACGACAAGAGTTCGCAAGTGGTGCACGGATTGTACCATGGCTTATCCGTCCTCGCATTCGTAACTCTAGGAAATCGTAAACTGTATCCAGTTGGATATTCATTGCTGCGTACCATTTCGGTCGCTCGTATCGTTAAAATGATGGAATGCTCTGGATGAATCCATACATCCGGCTGATGTCTCTGTAAGAAATATGTATGAATATTCTAGTGCTTACGGTATTGTACGTATAATATATAACAAATAATAATGAGAAAGGCACATGTGTTTCCCTAACACATATAAACATTCGTCTGAAATAATTCATGTTCACCTTGGGACCCTCGACATTTTCAGGATGTTCCTTGATCCAATACGGTGCAAGTTTTGTTTCAAGATGACGCAACATTTCATCTCCTATTCCACTGCTCACGGATGAGATGGCGAGAAATTGCGACGGATTTGCCCCCTCGTTGCTCGCTGGCGACGCGGCAACGCCCATCATAAAACTCTTGATTCTTCCTGCATATTTACCCTCCCCGTAATAACCGCCAAGTATAATGAGGTCTATATCTTGTATTAAATTGTCGGAATACTGTAATGCAATATATCTCGAATGTTACTTTTGGATTTACATATGTCGTTATCGTATATTTAGCATTATCCGTTGACCACAATATTTCATTTTCTCAACTTGCATCTCTTACAGGAATATTTTCTTCTAAGAAGGCAGAGAGAGAGAGTTTTTACCTCTGCTTTAATCTTATAACCACCGCCGCCATCTCGAATATTTGGTTTATATTTCATGTTACATTTCTTAACGACAAGTCCTTCCTCGTCATCACGTAGACATGTATTGAATGCTTCTAGCAACTCCTCCCTTGCGATAAAAGTAATAATTAATTTCTACTTACTTTTCGAAATGTAGTCCCATGTAAGAGGAAACGATTGTACGTACAAGAACGTAGATATCAAACTTGCAATAGTAGTAAGTATATTCTACCTGTTTGAAACTAAAGTAGATCGAGACACGATTAAAGAACCTTCCTCTTCGGTGAATATACGGTTTTCGGTGAGAAGTTTTAATCTCTCTTCGTAAGGTGTATCAACGAGCAAGACGTTATTGTGCAGAATGACGTCAAACGCGACGAAACACGGCTGATGGCGGCTGTTCGCCGACAAATGTTTGACATCGATATTCATACCTTTTGTACTAAACATCTTTTTCTCTTTATGCCAAGCCATTAATTCTCCATCCAGTATAAAGGAATGACAATTCGGATTAAGACGCCGCGTAAACACCGCGGTTAAGAAGCCTATCGGGATGTCGGATATATATATATATGTAATTAATACAGTTATAAGAATGAGATAAATGTGCACAGCCGATTATCTCGAATCTAATTGGACCTGACGAGTAGAATTAATAACCATATTCATATCACCATACCCGAAGATCCGGTTTCTCCGTATCCAGAATTGTTTGTAATATCGAACCCTCTACGCGTAAAGTATTTAAACATTCCATCCTTCATATGGAGTTGCGACCTCTCGCCGTCGTATTTAGTTTGTACGTAGTACAAGTTGTTGCCTCGAAATAACTTGTCGATATTCTCGACGTTGCATCTCTCCAAGAGCATAGGTTTAAAATGCGAGAATAATTGTATGCCGCGTTTTAATTTCACCTTAGGATCGTACAACTGGTCACAAATGTCGCGTAGATCATTCGTCACGAGGAATTTGTCATTCGCATCTGGATGATAGACTTGAAGGAAAATATATATTATAGTCTACGCGTTATTTCATTGGCATTATTATTATTATTATAATGGGCAAGTCATACAAACTGTGCAGTATTTTTTGCGTGCCTATACCAAGTCGTAAATCTTTAAGGACGATACGCGTCAGCCATTTCATCTCGAATCCCGTAATCTGTCGAAAAAGTACTCTAAAGGTTTCGACTTTCTGTTGCATCGTTACGCTCTTCCCAGAGATACCATCGAGGAACGTGTTGATCCGTGCGATCGTGAATCCGCTACTGTTCCGAGGCAACTTTTTATCCAATACGCAGTAAGCTCGATCAGCGAAATCATTTCCCATAAATTCGCCCGACGTGTGTTCTCTAAAATACAATCGATGTGCAATGTCTTATCGATTATCTAACGGTTCCAAATGAGATACTGACCGGTAATTTGCCAACTTGTTATAACTGTCGCTATTTCGTGCAAAGCCATATACATTAGCGTAAAGCTTCGTCAGCGAAGCTTGCTTCAAATTATGTGGTCCACGCTGTCGTTCAAGATGGGGCAAGATTAATCTCAGTATGGGATAGAGCGATACGTTCTAAGACACAAATGATTAATTATTAATATTAACCGGCCAGGAATAACAGCCTCTCTCCAAAGTTTCCCTCGCAAATTTTTATTAAACTATATTAAACGTATAATGTAATACATACCGATTCAGGATATTCTACTTTCAGTTTGTTGCCGATACTTTGACACTCGGTGATAAACTTTTGCAAAATTTGCTCCTTCTTTTTTGCTTCACGTGCCTTGGCAATACCCTCCAATGTAACGCACAATTGTTTAAATTCAATCTTGGCCTCTAAATCAGTGGCCATTATTCTAAAGAGAAATCTTTAAATCGACTGGATTTTAATACCAATAGAGGTATGTGCGTGGAGAGATTGGTTCCTTTTCGTTATCTTGAAAACAATGTATACTTTATATGTATATATGTATATATATATTTCTTCTATTACTTATTCACCTGTAGCATAATCACATGTAGCGACAGCAAAGATATCGTAACTGATCAGAGGTGCCTTCTCTCCCCCCCCCCCCCCAAAAAAACGCATGTTTGAAAAAATTTGAATGGGGAAAAATTTTTATTTCTATAAAACTATTTACAGCACTCTACACATTAAATACAAATAGAAAATATATGTACAATATCACATTTAGACGACTTTGTACTCATATCGTGATGTAATTCTCGAGATACATTCTAGCAAGAAGATGGTTTTCCGATTGCAGATAGATGAGATGCAAATTGAAGGCTGCTTCCTTTCTCAGGTCCAAAAGATTCGCATGCTGTTTGACTAAATCTCCTGGATCTTCCTTCAAGACCAACTTGTAAAAGTGAATGGCAGAGGGTAACAAGCCAATTTGATGAAATGCCCGTGCCATGTTGTAATAGGCTTCTTGTTGACCGTCTTTACCACGTAACTGCATATACTTGTTGAAGAAGGCCAGCGCTACACAAATATAAGAGTATATAAGAGTATAAACGATGACATTAAACGAATCTACTGTTGTACGTACCTTGAATTACAAGCTGATTCTTCTTAGCCGACAACTTTTGACACGCCATTTGTAACTGCGTAACGCCTATCAACAGTGCCAGCAATGCACTAGGTGCTACTTTGAAAAGAGACATGTATCCGTTTAGAGCGTATTTATAAGTTCCCGAAACGAGACAGTTGTTTGCGTGCATGATGTGCAAATACGAAAAGACATCTCGTCCGAGCAATCTCATTATAAATCTGTTATGCCTCAAATCTTCCGCCCTTTGGATAATTATGTTCAACAGGTTCCACGAGTTGGACCTTTGGCAGACACGTACGAGTTCTCGGACGATGTTGTACCCGTAGAACGAGTCCTTGTTGTGAATGCAAGAGACCAAGCACAGAAAGACGATGTGAGAGTTCCTCTTGGTAAATCTCTTGGACGTGAGAGCGGTGAAGCATAATCTCTGGAGGAAGCCATACTTTTTCAATTTACACGCTAGCTTACACATTTGTAGGAAGAGTAGAAACTCATTCTTCTCGCTCGGCTTGGCGTTAGCAACAAACGTTGGGGCGTTTTCGTCCTCCAACCTTTCCCCGCAAGACAAACGACGAAGCTGTAGGCTGTCGAGCCGCTGGCGAACGCCCGTCGCGCGTGCCAACGCATTCAATTCGACCTTTCGTCTTATATTGACGCAGTGTCTCGAGAGAAGCAGCATTCCCGAAGCAAAGTACTCCTCGTATCTTCTAACTGTGTAAAGTAGCAGCGTTCTCTGATAGAGAACGTCAGGATCTAACGTGTCGGATTCGGGGTCTTGATAGAGAACTTGTACCGCCTTGTCGTAATGTTCCGACTTTTTATAAAGCTTGGCAAGAGCCAATCTCGCGCCTAAATGCTGCGGCGATAATCTTCGGACGGCTTCGTAAGATTGTACGGCCTTGTCGAGATTATCGCAGCCTACCCAGCACTCCGCGTGCCTCAGCCAGACCGCGGCCAGGCTGTAATTGGTGCTTTTAACCAACGGATCCAACAGAAGCATGGCGCGCTGAAACTCCCTCTTGCCCATCAATGCCTCCGCCACGTCTAGAAAGAGATCTCCCGAGATCTCTGGATTCTCGCGCAAGTAAAATTGAGGCAGCAGCTTCTCAGCCATCGGAATGTAATCGAGTTCGATGAGAGTAATGAGAAATTTGGCTTTCAGGTCAACGACCACGTTATTCGGTACGTCGCAAAACTCGATTTCATTGCCACTCTCGCCTGCCGTTGATACTCTCGATGGCGATGACGTAGCTTTAGACCTCGCGTCACCACGTTCTCCATCCCTCTCCTCCTCGCTCTTCTTATATCGTACTCGAATATCCGTGTACTTTAGCAGTATATCTAAACATCTCTGAAATTGCTTGAGCGCTATTAGCAATTCAGTCATAATGTTAACTTCTTCCAACGTGATGAGATGAGGACATTTGGTAAAAATAGTCTCAACTGCTTCCAGTGCTTGCTCATTGTTGTCCTCTTGCATATAACGTTTGGCTAATATCTTTGCGTATTTCATGATATATGCACCATCTTCGGCTTCCAATTGGTGAATCAGTTTGGTATATCCTCGCAGGTACGCCTTCTTATCGCCATTCTGTTCTTGGAGATGCGCACGCGTCTCGTATAAATTGATGTCCTTTGGACTGGCTTGAATCGCTTTGGAGTAACACGTGATCGCTTGCCTCAGGTCGCTGCTTTCGAGCGACAAGTTGGCTAATCTCACCCACTGATCGGCATCCTTGGGACTAAGATGCGCGGCAATTAGAGCAAATTGCAACGACTTGTCCGGTTGATCGTTCTCGTATATCATGGCCAGCGTTTGAAATGGCTCTGGAGCGCTCGGTACTTGTCTAAGAGAGTAATAAGCGAGTACGTTAATCAAGCTGCCCCTTGACAGTTATCGAGGACAAGTTTCAACCAGTCGAGAGGATAACTTGCCTAATAATCTCCATGCATATTTTAGCTGCCAAGTCTACCTCTCCCTTTGCGAATCTTAAATTTGCCTCTCCCATGAGCCCTTGCAGAACTTGCGGCAATACGCGTCTCTTCTTCTTCTGACGCACGACGCTCGCTTTGTGCGGCTTTTGTTCCACCGACTTTTGTACAGCGACGCGATCGGGTCCGACTGTCCTTCTGGAAAGTAGGTAATTGCGATATGGTAATTGAATCGAGGAGCATTTTCAGAGTCATACCTGGACGCGTCGTTCTCTATCGTCTCCAGATCTATATCCTGGTCCATCCTGGACGAATACTCGCTAAACGTCAGCTCGCCATTTAAGAACTGTTTCGTTAACCGATCCTCCTCGTCGGCGGTCAGCGACGTATCCTGCTCCTCCGTGTCTACGGTAACCTTGGTGCGATTACACGGGGACGGGGAGAGAGTACAATTTGGAATAACGTCCGTCACCTCGTTGATTTGCAACGCCCTCGCTTCCACAAACTCATTTATGTCCACGTCCATCGAGCCGATGGCATTTTCGTCCAGTTCCTCAATTATCACCGGTGCTACGCTGCCGTCGCCACTAGGGAGCGGCTTTTCAACCGCGCCGACGTCTCTTTCGCTCGCGTGACACTCCATAATGCTCCGATATTTCGCAAGCAAACGTCGAATATCGTTGCCGTCGCTACATATCGCTACATATCGCAACAGAGATTCGTCGATTTACCTGCGCCGTGGAATTTCTCTGTAGGGAAGACGGGCTGTCCTTTCCTGCGAAATCGGCAAAGCCAGGTTACGTTGATCACTCCCGTCCGACACCATCCGACCAGTGATGCCAGCGATCCGACACCTGGCTAGAGACCATAGAGACTCCAGTAGCAGCAGAGAGACAGCGGCCACGCCGGCGTAAAACTGTGTTTTGCGCGCCCTTACACCCATTTGTGCTTCTCCAACTATTTCATCACGCATCTTCTGACTCTGCCGATAAAACTTCCATACCTGCATTGTGCTATATGCTGAAAAATCGCCGTAGCATAAACGCGCGCAGTCTTTGCACTTGCAACACAAAGAACATGATTGGCAAAGAGGTGGCGCTATCTAAATTTCCAAGAATTTTTCGCAAAAATCGAGAATACCGAAAACTGACAGAGTATCAGGAGAGCATGGATTGGCAAAGAGGTGGCACTATCTGAATTTCCAAGAGTTGAAATTCCGAGAATTTCAAACTTCAAATCGCGAAAATGGAGAATGAAACTGGCAAAGTATCGGGAGAACATGATTGGCAAAGAGGTGGCGCTATCTAAATTTCCAAGAATTTAAATGGAACCTAGTGTTTATTATTTGGAAGTCCAGCACGCGTGGTTGATGAATTGGCCGTTCGATCATACTGCATCCATGAAATGCGGCCACATTTTCGCCCACCCCCACCACTGATCTAAGCAGGAGCCCCGAGTCTCCCGGTCTCTAGTACTCTCTAGTCTTCTGTTGGAAGTTCTTGGTGCCGACATCTAGAAACAGCTGTTCGTCAACACCCCTAACACCCCTAACGCCCCCCAACCGTCATGGTCGACCGTCATGGCCGCTTCCAGGTTGACGAAGCCCTCGAGGACGACCGTTGTTAAATGAAACGGATTAACGAGCGTGTGATCGCCCGAGCCAAGATTTGAGCCGGAATCAACGGCAGGAATACAGTTGAAGTTTCTACATCCTTGTTCGTAGGCCCTTGTGTACTTTACGTAATGACGCCCGTGTAATTTTTATAACTCGTATGTTCTCCTACGCCTTTCACCTTGTGCAACTGGTACTCCGCGGTTTAATCGAAGCTCTCCGTCTCCGAATACGAGACCGATACGATTGCGTCCACAAGAAATGAAACAATGATGCCGATAAAGGACAATCAAGATGTCGCGTGCTTTTTAGTTACCAAGCATTCAACATGGAAAGGAAAGTGAGTGTATTGACATCTCTCGTCGTTGCAATTGGATTCGTTGTATCGCGTTGCATACGCGACGTCGACACGTTAAACACGTTAAACGCGTAGTTGAACGTGTAACTATGTGTTTCAGGTACAAGCGTATCTTCTCCATTGGCTCCATGGGGATAACGACGTACAATCCTGGCACATTAGAAGTCACAAACAAATGGGAATATGCCGATTTTATAAGTGTACAGCCAATAAATAGAAATCAATTAGGTTCCCATGAGTTTACTATAACCGTACGTAAGGAGCGGAAAAATGAGACCATGAAGTTTAGTTCCGAGCATAGGCCACACTTATTGACGGAAGCACTTAAATACAGAAATTATGTTGAAAAGTCTAAAGAAATTTTGGTAAGTTCTCTCTCTCTCTCTCTCTCCCCCCCTCTTGTCGAATGCTATAATACAGTAAATTTGTAGAGATATTCAGCTTATAAACATCACTGGTCCGATACAAGACTACCCATTGTATTAGAAATAACGCCGTACAGTCTCGATCAGTTGGATCCTGCGACAAACATGGTATTAGCTAGTTATTGTTACAAAGATTTCGAAGGGCTCCTCACCATGAAAGATTATCCCAATGGATTTGTAATCGTGTGTGGCGGATTTGGACGGCTGCACCTCTTTGCGTCGAAACATATGGAGGAGATAAAGAAGAAGCTGCAAGAAACTGCTTTAAATAACTTGGGCATTAATATAAAGATGTTGAAGGAGCCTATAAGACTCGACGACTTTATTGCTCAAAGATTGGGGAAATTTAGCAGCGACGAGCACATAACGAGCGTCTCGGAATTTACTGTTCACAAAATCTCTGCGAGGCATCTGGATCCTCAAAGAAGAACGCTCTGTCTCTCGGACACCTGCCTGTTGGAGAGAGATCCTCAAACCTACAACATTTGTACTCTCAGGCCGCTGTCGGACATTTTCACTTTGACTCGCGATAACGATAATCCTCAATTGTTCACTATACAATATCTCAACGGTCAGTTGCGCAGTTACACCGCGACCAATAGAGACGCCTTATTGGCGTCTTTACTGGATGGCGTGAGGGCATCCGGTAACAGAGATGTCCACGTCAAGATGTATCCCATAGCCAGAGGTAAAAGACTCGGACCTTTCAACCTACCTGTTGACGAAGAGGTCGAAACGACACACGTCAAATTCCTTCAGCAGCCGCCTGGAGGACGTACGTTTGCTGAAATTTTGGAGAGATTTAACGCAAACGTACCCTACAGCGGACTTAATTACTCCGTTACGCAAGACGTAAGACGAAGCATTTCTCTGATTTAAGAAATCACTTTGCGTACTTGTATACTCTGTACAGTACATTGAAGCGGTTATTGAACTTTACTATTCACTACCGAGCTTGTGTGCGTATGTGCGTATGTGTGTGAGTCCTTTTGAAAGTATACAATGAAAAGTGTTTCATCCTTGTAAAATCGCGTGTAACTATCAAGTTTCCGAACATAGACGAATGGTAAATGTAGTACATAAAGGGACACGAGACCTTTTCTGTTTATCCAGGAAATTGTACCGCTTGAATGGACTGTAACAACGTTGCAACTCCAAGTACATCGTATCACGAATGATTACTTACAGGGGATTTTTACTGAGAACAAAGACAAGATCATCCTCGGAGCTTTGAATACTTTAATCAGCAAAGATCTCGAGACAAATAGCGAGATCGAGGCACAGTTTCACGCACTGCGAAGGCTGGTGGCCAGCAAAATCGGTTTCGCTGCATTTACAACACTCGCCGGCTTTAGAGAAACCGTCGGTACAAAGGTCGTGAAGGCTTTAAAGAGACAAAATTGTGGCGTAACGCAAGCTGCCATAGACTGTATTTGCGCTCTGATGCAGCCGATGCACGACGATTGCGATTTGAGGCAAGAACAATTGAACAAAAGCAGTCTGCTCAGCAGTAACAAGTTTTTAGAAAGTCTCCTTGAAATGTGGGTCAATCACGTTGTAAGTACTAGTTACAAGTACTTGTACTTATTAATATATTTAATAGAGGTAGCCTCTATTAATACGCCGACGCGACATCAAAGTCCTCCCTCTTTTTAACGTTACAGAATCGTGGCACAGGTGCACTGGTAGTCTCCGCTATGCTCGATCTCTTAACGTTCGCCCTGTGCGTGCCATACAGTGAAACTACCGACGGCAAACATTTTGACAATCTTTTAGAAATGGTTGCTACGAGAGGTAGATCTTTGTTTAAATTGTTTCAACATCCTTCGCTGGCTGTGGTCAAAGGTGCTGGATTGATAATGCGAGCGATTATCGAAGAGGGTGCGCCAGAGGTAGCAGCGAAAATGCAAGAACTGGCACTTGCGGAAGGAGCTCTACCGAGGCATTTGTTAAATAGTTTATTTACAATTGGTAGCGACGGCAGACTATTGACTCATCGGCAATTGTGCCGACATTTAGTAGGTTTGTGGGTCACGGGGCACCCTACTGCTATGGGATTGTTGAAACGAATTATGGTGAGTTTCGACCACTTGGCTACATGTATTTAATAAAATGAAACGAGTAATGTGAAACTGCTGCAATTTGTTTGTAGCCAGTGGGTTTGTTGAATTACTTGGACTCTGACGAAAAGGTACCAGAGTCGTTCTTGGAAGAGGAGAGACTGAACAATCGTGACAATTTGAAGATAGCAATAGATCTTGCGTCAAGAAATAAAAAGAGTCCACAATGGATCGCTATCGAACGTCAGATGCGAGTAGTGGAAAAGCACGTGGAAAACGCTTTGCAGCATTGGGGTGCTCGTATTGGAATAGAGCGTAGAGAAAAGATCAAAGAGCGTCCGATAGTTTTACGGAAGCGTAGAGAACGAATCAAGTCTGAGGCAAATTGGAAGTTGTTCTACTACAAGTTTAATCAAGATCACGCACTGCCAAATTTAATTTGGAATCACAAGACGAGAGAAGAATTGCGAATAGCTCTGGAAAATGAGATACGTGCATTTAGCTCGGACAAAGACTTGGCCGGCGGAACTTTAATAGCATGGAATCACCGAGAGTTTGAGGTGCAATATCAATGTCTTTCGGATGAAGTTAAAATTGGAGATTACTACTTGAGGCTTTTATTGGAGAAGGATAGTCCGGACAGTCCAATAAGGAAATCGTAAGTATATTAGCCGATCTTTACGTACCTTCGATGAGAAATTACCTCCTTGCGTGGCATTACCAATGTGGTCTAAAGCGTAAAAGTTGTCGACAGTCGTCTTACGAATAATAAATGATTTTCGATTGCAGGTACGAATTTTTTAATGATTTATACCACAGATTTTTATTGACTGCAAAAATCGAAATGAAGTGCCTTTGCTTGCAAGCAATGACGATAGTGTACGGTCGATATTACGAGGATATTGGTCCATTCTCAGATACCAAGTATATTTTGGGAATGTTGGAGCGTTGCGCGGACAGAACGGAGCGCGACAGGCTAGTCATGTTCATAAATAAGCTCATATTGCACAGGCGAAACGTCAAGGACATAATGGATCAGAATGGCGTGCGAACCTTGGTCGATTTACTGACATTGGCACATTTGCATACGTCCCGAGCGGTCGTGCCGACGCAAACCAATGTGATAGAAGCGGGTCCACAGCAGGAACGAATGGAGAAAGAATGGTATTACAATAATGGAGATCAACGTGAAGGCCCGATGAGTCTAAAGGACCTAAAGGAATTGTACGGTTCGAATCATGTGACTCACAAGACGAAAGTTTGGGCACAGGGATTGGATGGGTGGAAAACGATTTCACAAGTGCCGCAATTAAAGTGGAGTCTCGTTGCGAGGGGCACTCCCGTGATAAACGAAAGTGAACTGGCCAATTTAATCCTAAACATTTTAATCAAGATGTGCGAATATTTCCCAAGCAGAGATGCTGACGACGCGGTAATCAGACCGTTGCCACGCGTCAAGCGACTGCTATCCGATCTTCAGTATCTACCACATATCGTGCAGCTTTTGCTGACGTTCGATCCAATCCTAGTCGAGAGAGTCGCTACGTTGTTGTGCGAAGTAATGCGAGACAATGCAGACGTGTCGAAAATTTATCTTGCTGGCGTATTTTACTTTATCTTAATGTACACTGGTTCTAATGTCTTGCCAATTGCAAGATTCTTGCAACTTACGCACACTAAACAAGCCTTTAGGAACGACGATGTGAGTACGATGTGTGTGTGTGTGTGTACAGATACCATGTTATTACGTGTGCGCTTGAAAATAACATTGTCGCTGTGTCCTTTAGAACACTTCTTCAGATATCATGCAACGAAGTATTCTCGGTCAACTGTTGCCCGATGCAATGGTGAGTTACTTGGAGAATCATGGGGCCGAAAAGTTTGCGCAGATATTTCTCGGAGATTACGATACGCCGGAAGCAATTTGGAATGCAGAAATGAGACGAATGCTCATCGAGAAAATTGCTGCGCATATCGCAGACTTTACTCCCAAGTTACGAAGTCATACCATGGCCAGGTATCAATATATCGCCATACCTGCTGTAAGATATCCACAGTTGGAAAATGAATTGTTTTGCCAGATATTCTATCTCAGACATCTTTGCGACACCGTTAAATTTCCACAGTGGCCTATCCCAGAGCCTGTAAGTTGGAGCGAATTCACTCGACTCTTTTGTGCATTCTATCGAATCCCTTTGTGACACTTGTAACGCGCTAACTTGTGTGACATTGACTTAGGTGCAATTGTTAAAAGACGTACTGGACGCGTGGAAAAGAGAAGTAGAAAAAAAACCACCTCTCATGACTATGGATGAGGCTTACAAGCAGCTTGGCTTACCTAGTGGGAAGCATCATGATGAAGCGATCGTGAGAAAGTCGTTTTACAAATTGGCTCAAATGTATCATCCTGACAAAAATCCTGAAGGCAGGGTAAGCCTGTATTTCGTGTACTGGAAACTCTTGGTATACGTGTATGTGTGTGTGTAATCGCATACGTGTGTAAAACTATTCTAGGACAAGTTTGAAGCTGTCAGTCAGGCATACGAGTTTCTATGCAGTCGCAGTTGTTGGTCAACAACGGGCCCTAATCCCGACAATATCGTTTTGATTTTGAGGACTCAGAGCATCCTTTTCCACAGATATTCAGACGAGCTTAGACCTTACAAGTACGCCGGTTATCCCCAGCTAATCAAAACGATTAAACTGGAAACGGACGATGAACGATTATTTTCAAAGTCTGCCCCATTGCTAGCAGCTGCGAGCGAACTTGCCTATCACACGGTGCACTGTTCGGCTTTAAATGCCGAAGAATTGCGAAGGGAGGGCGGTTTAGACGTATTGTTGGAAGCGTATACGCGATGCGTATCTGTTTTAAGCAGATCGAGTAAATCCACCGACGTAGCGGTGCAAGTTTGTATGCATATAACTAGATGTTTCGCCGTTGCCGGATCGTTTCGAGGATGCAGAGATAAAATTATTGAATTGCCGCAACTTGTAAAAGACCTTTGCAGAATACTGCATTTTAAGGTACGTACCTTATCGTACGAAGCTACTTTATAACTAAAGAAACATCTCCTCTTTTGCAGCATTTAACAAAATTGTGTGCAGTCGCCACAGAGTGTATCTCGTCTCTCGCCACAGACAGCATATTGCAAATGCAGCTATTGCAATCTGGCGCCCTATGGGATCTATTGCTCTTCATGTTCAACTATGATTACACGTTGGAGGAGGGTGGTGTAGAGAGAAATCAGGATGAGAATCGCCAGGAAGTAGCCAACAACTTGGCTAAATTGGCAGTTGGCGCTTGCGCTAGATTAGGTGGTTACATGAAGGGCGACAACGAGACCCCCGTTAATCCCGTTACGGTTGCCGCCCTAGAAAGTTTATTAACGCCCTATCTAGCACGTCAGCTTGTTAAAGATAAGCCCGAAGAGATTCTAAAGATACTGAATTCTAATTGTTCAAATCCATATTTAATCTGGGACAATGGAACCAGAGCGGAATTAAATGAATATTTAGAGCTGAAACGGCAAGAGCGATTAAATAATAGCGATAATTTTGAACACGATTTCAGCGATTTCAAGTATACCGCTCATGCTGACGAGTTAGTAATCGGCGAAATATTTGTCAAGGTATACAACGAGCAACCGGCATATCCAATCGAGGTAAATTTCTGACAACGAGCTAGAAACAAAATTGCACGTAAACAACCTTGAAGAGCTCAATTTAATTATTTCAGAATCCCAAAGGTTTTACGATAAACTTGCTTGAATTTCTGTCACTGTCTTCGGAGTACTTAACGTCTTTAGCGAGTATTACGTCGATTAAAAAGGAGCAAGACAAGTTGGAACACATTGTGATGGCGCTTAAAGCTCTGAATAATGTTATCAAAAATAACCCTGGCATTGAATTACAGTGTATGGGGCACTTTAAATTACTATTTGGACTTTTAAATTGTAGTAATTTCAAGTTAATTCAAAAGAGCGCTCTAGAAGTAATCAGCAATGTTACCAAGAATCAAGAGTGCGTCGATGATATTGCCGCAAATGAAGTTGTCGTACATCTGTTGTTATGTTTGCACAGTTTAAAAGAGTATCAGCTTCTCGCTTTGGAAACTTTATATGCACTGATGAGTTCGACCAAAATTGTCAAGGATGCGTTGTCAAAAGGTCAGTATTCGTACAAGTAGATATTCATAGAGAACATTACACGTATTACGTATAGATATGTATATTTCTTATGTAATGTAATCTTTTCCACAGGAGCTGTCGTGTACATTCTCGATCTCTTTTGTAACTCGAGTAATATTCAGACGAGAGAAGCGGCAGCTGAATTACTCGCAAAAATGTCGTCTGACAAATTAGCTGGACCGAAAGTTAAGCTTGACTTGTCGAAATTTCTACCTAGATTATTCAGCGAAGCTATTCGCGATGCGCCCAAGCAATGCGTACACATGTTTGAGACACAGCACGAAAATCCGGAATTGATATGGGACGATGATGCGAAAGCTAGAGTAGCGAGAATTATTGCGGAATTGAAAGACGAGTAAGCTTTATCTTTTTCTTCTCTCCTTTCTCTCCTTTCCTCCTTAGTCGGTGTGTCGGGCAGTGGTTAATTGATACGCGTTATCTTCTAGATACCACGCGTTACAGAGACGAAATCCAAATGCCATATTAAAGTTACCTGATACCCAGAATAATATTGATATCGCGACCAACGAGCCTGTCGTGGGTGGAGTGTATCTTCGATTATTCATAGCCAGTCCCGCTTGGGCGCTTAGGAAACCGAAAGAATTCTTAAGCGAGCTGATGGACACTACGTTGACATTAATGTCCAAGGAAAAGACCGATGCAAGTATTATAGAGAAAATTCAGTAAAGTTAATCGAACGAGCGTACGAAAATATTATCTTACATTTGTAATCATCTTTCTAGACGGATATGTTGGAATTGACAACGCAGGCTCTTGTGTG